TGGTAATGGTATTGGGAATGGGAATGTGAATCGGAATGGTAATGGTACTGGCAACGGTAATGGTAGTGGCGAAGGGCAATGGCAATGGCAATGGTAATGGTAGTGGCGAATGGCAATGGTAACGGTAGTGGCGAATGGCAATGGCAATGGCAATGGTAATGGTAATGGCAATGACAATGGTAATGATAATGGCACTGGGAATGGTAATGGTGACGAAAACGGTAATGGTAATGGTTATGGCAGTGGTAACGGGGTAGCGGTTGGCAATGGTAATGGGAATGGCAACGGCAACGGCAACGGCAATAGCAATGGCCATGGCAATGGTAATGGTAATGGTAATGGTCATGGTCATGGTCATGGTCATGGTCATGGTAATGGTAATGGTAATGGGAATCGTAGTGGTAATTGGAACGGGAACGGGAATGGAAATGGTAGTGGTAGTGGGAAAGATAATGGCAATGGTAATGGAAATGGTACTGGTAACGGTAATGGTAATGGCAATGATGATGGGAATGGGAATTGTAATGGTGATGGCAGCGGTAATGGTAATGGTAATGGCAATTGTGTTGGTAATGCTAATGATAATGGCAATGGTAATGGTGGTGGCGAATGGTAATGGTAATGGGAATGGTAATGGTAATGGTAACGGTAATGGTAACGGGGTGGCTACTGGCAATGGCAATACCATGGCAATGGCAACGGCACTGGCAATGGCAATGGCAATGATAATGGCAATTGTAATGGCAATGGTAATGGCACTGGCAATTGTAATGGCAATGGTAATGGTAATGGTAATGGTACAGGTAAAGGTAAAGATAAAGGTAAAGGTAATGGTAATGGTAGCGGTAATGTGAATGGGAATGGGAATTGGGATGGAATGGAATGGGAATGGGAGTGGGAGAGATTGAGAGAGAGAGAGAGAGAAAACGAGAAAGGAAACATCAGCATAATGATGAGGAACAAAGTGAAATATCGTAAATTCTCGTCTAAAACCCACAGCTACTCCACAATCCCCCGGCCTCTCCTCCTCCTCCTCCTCCTCCTCCTCCTCCTCCTCCTCCTTCTCATCCTCCTCCTCCTCATCCTCCTCCTCCTCCTCCTCCTCCACGCTCTCTGCTGGTTCGGGGGGGCACGCTGGAGCGAGGCTGGCGGCCGTCCTGAGGCCACGGGCTGTGGCGGTGCCTCGGGCTCCGCCTCCGCGAGGGCGCCGGCGTCGCCGACCACCTGGGGGAGGGGAGGCTTCCAGTTGAGCGACGAAGATGCGTTGAGACATACATCCGCCACCGTTCTTGCGAGGCACGAGCTGGAGCGTCCTCGGGTCCCTTGCTCAATCGTCGGCTACACGCAGGAGCGACCTTGGGCAAGAGTGACCTTTGGTGCGCGACTTCACGGGGGACGCGGGGTGGCCAAACCCGGGAGCGCAAGCCGCTGCTACCGCTTAGCGTTCAGCGAACGTGGGACCCCACTTGGCCCGCACCAAAGGTCACTCCGGCAGAAGGTCACTCTTACGTGTAGTCGAAATCCCCTGAGCCTCATTCTCAGGACCTTTCAAGCGGCCAGGGCCCCAAATACTCAAATCGCCTGGGGCTCCCTGCGCGCCAGGGGCGTCTTCCTGCACACCCTTGCCGGGCCCGTCCATGGCCCAGAGGCGGGCCAAGTTGCCTACTACCCGAAACCAATGAACGCACAGCAGCGGGGTGGCCGTTCAACCTGACACGATCGATCGGATCGGTGCTCCGACGGCACAGGCCGCTCGGCACCGGCCGATTCCAGGCCCACGGCGGCGGTCAACCTGGAACGCTCGCGGTGGAGTCGCGGCGCGGCTGCGTCAGCGCGGCGCGAACCTGCCCTTGCTCTCCCTGCTCGGGAGACGCCAACTGTTCCCCCACTCCTGCCAAGGCAACTTCTGGGCGCATCCCTCGGGGGCGCGCAAACATGGATTAGCGATCCTTGGATTTGGCAGGCGGTCGCCAAATCCATGGATCTGGGGAGGTGGCCTCCCCAAAATGCGGCCAATGCCGCCTCGTTCGGCGGCTGAATCTGCGATTTCCCATGGAAACGGGCCCGTCGCTAATCCAAGCCCCCTTAATTGAGCAGGGACCGACCGTCCCGGCATCCTTACAGTCCTACCACGACATGTTCTTAGAACCCCAATGTTCTAAGAACAAAAACAACAAAAGGTTCTTAGAATATTGTTTGGTTTGGTAGGGCTATCGGCGAGCAAAGACGCTTCGCCACTGCTTGACTTAATCCATGTTGACGATCGCCTGAATCCACCGATCCCGGGCCAAGGGTTGGTCTGGCCAGGACTGGCGCGGGCGGTCTGTAGCTGGCGTCCCCCGACCTCTGCCTCCTCCCCCCCCTCCTCATCGTCAGCCTCTTTCCTGCTGCCTCGATCCTCCTTCTCCTTCCTCGCCCTCCTCCGACCCGGTCTCGTACTTGTTCTCGTCGTCGTCGTCGTCTTCTCCTCCTTCTCCTCCTCCTCCTCCTCCTCCTCAAATGGGAGGGAGCGCGGAGTGCCACAGGTTGTTGTTTATTCTCTTGCACAGGGTGTCTAGAGCTCCGACCAGTTTATTTCGGCACCGCACCCCCCCCCCTTCATAATCACCATCATCATCATCAGCATCATCATCCACATCATCATCATCATCATGCGCCCCTCCGTCTCAGCGCCCTCCCGCGGCTCCAGCGCCCGCCCAGTGCCCCCTCCGCCCCGACCACTTTATTTCGGCACCGCACCCCCCCCCCGCTCCGCCCCCTCCCCCGCGCCGTCTCAGCGCCCTCCCGCGGCTCCAGCGCCCGCCCAGTGCCCCCTCCGCCTCGACCACTTTATTTCGGCACCGCCCCCGCTCCGTATCCTCCCCCTCCCCCGCGCCGTCTCAGCGCCCCCCCGCGGCTCCAGCGCCCGCCCGCCCGCCCAGCGATCCCTCCGCCCCGACCACTTTATTTCGGCACCGCACCCCCCCTCCCCGCTTCGCCCCCTCCCCCGCGCCGTCTCAGCGCGCCCCCGCGGCTCCAGCGCCCGCCCAGCGCCCCCTCCGCCCCGACCACTTTATTTCGGCACCGCACCCCCCTTCCCCCCCGCTCCGCCACCTCCCCCGCGCCGCCTCAGCGCCACCGCGGCTCCAGCGCCCGCCCAGCGCCCCCTCCGCCACGACCATTTTATTTCGGCACCGCACCCCCCCCCCGCTCCGCCCCCTCCCCCGCGCCGCCTCAGCGCCCCCCCGCGGCTCCAGCGCCCGCCCAGCGCCCCCTCCGCTTCGACCATTTTATTTCGGCACCGCACCCCCCCCCGCTCCGCCCCCTCCCCCGCGCCGTCTCAGCGCCCCCCCGCGGCTCCAGCGCCCGCCCAGTGCCTCCTCGCCCCGACCACATTATTCGGCACCGACCACCCCCCCCCCCGCACCGCCCCTCCCCCGCGCCGTCTCAGCGCCCCCCCCCCCGCGGCCTCCAGCGCCCCGCCCAGTGCCCCCTCCGCCCGACCACTTTATTTCGGCACGCACCCCTCCGCCCCGACCATTTTATTTCGGCACCGCACCCCCCCCGCTCCGCCCCCTCTCCCCACGGCCGTCTCAGCGCCCCCCGCGGCTCCAGCGCCCCACGCCCAGCGCCCCCTCCGCACGATATTTATTCGGCGCCGCACCACACCCCCCCGCTCCGCCCCCTCCCCGCGCCGTTCAGCGCTCCCCCGGCGGCTCCAGCGCCCGCCCCAGCGCCCCCTCGCCCCGATAATTTATTTCGCACCGCACCCCCCCCTCTGCCCCCTTCCCCCGCGCCGTCTCAGCGCCCCCCCCCGGCTCCAGCGCCCGCCCAGTGCCCCCTCCGCCCGGACCACTTTATTTCGGCACCGCACCCCCCCTCCCCGCTCCGCGCCCTCCCCCGCGCCGTCTCAGCGCCCCCCCGCGGCTCTAGCGCCCGCCCAGTGCCCCCTCCGCCCCGACCGCTTTATTTCGGCACCGCACCCCCCCCCCGCTCCGCCCCCTCCCCCGCGCCGTCTCAGCGCCCCCCCCCGCGGCTCCAGCGCCCGCCCAGTGCCCCCTCCGCCCCGACCACTTTATTTCGGCACCGCGCCCCCCCTCCCCGCTCCGCCCCCTCCCCCGCGCCGTCTCAGCGCCCCCCCGCGGCTCCAGCGCCCGCCCAGCGCCCCCTCCGCCCCGACCACTTTATTTCGGCACCGCACCCCCTCCCCCGCTCCGCCCCCTCCCCCGCGCCGTCTCAGCGCCCCCCCCGCGCTCCAGCGCCCCCCAGTGCCCCCTCCGCCCCGACCATTTTATTTCGGCACCGCACCCCCCTCCCCGCTCCGCCTCCTCCCCCGCGCCGTCTCAGCGCCCCCCCGCGTTTCCAGCGCCCGCCCAGTGCCCCCTCCGCCCCGACCGTCCTCTCCCCCCCCCCCCCTCCTCCTCCACATCCTCCTCCTCCCCCTTCCTTTTTGTGCAAGAGCCATGGCACACGCGCCACTTGTTGCGTTTTCCTGCTTCGAAGCAAATGCCTGCCACGTCGTTGCCTGACTGGGGCGCCGGACCCTGAGATCCGACGCTGCGCCAAGAAGGCAGCACGTCGCGCAAAGCCACGACCGGAGCCCTGGACCCCAGGACCCCTTCCTCCTGCGGCATGCGGGGCGACGATCCACAAGAGGTGTTACGCGAGATGGCATAGCGACCTTACGCGGTGTCTTACGCGGGCCGGCAGCGCGGCACACCAGTGGAGACGAGCGCGCCCACGCGCGACCTTACGCGGGGAGCTCACGCGCCCATGTCGGCGCAGTTGGACCCGCTCGCTCTCGCCGCTCACTTTGGACGTCTGCCGAGCCGGATCGACCTGCGAGGGCCCCGGGGCCCGCAGCGAGCGCACGCCACCTGTGGTGGAACAAAAAGCTGCGACTCCCAGAAAGGTCTGGCGAGCAGGGCGCCCCCCCCCTCGCGAAGCGACGGCCCGGCCCGCCGGCGTCGCGGTGGTCTGCACCGCTTCCGCCGTGGGCGGCTCCGTGGGGAGCTCCACCCTCTCGGGGCCCCGCACGATCTTGTACCAGCCGGCGCCGTTCTCCTGCGGGATCGCGGCGCGGGCGGGGTGGCTGCGGCGGGGGAGAGGGAGGAGGAGGAGGAGGAGGAGGAGGAGGAGGAGGAGGAGGAGGAGGAGGAGGAGGAGGAGGAGGAGGAGGAGGAGGAGGAGGAGAGGAGGAGGGTGAGGAGGAGGAGGAGGAGGAGGAGGAGGAGGAGGAGGAGGAGGAGGAGGAGGAGGAGGAGGGAGGGGAGGAGGGGAGGAGGAGGAGGAGGAGGAGGAGGAGGAGGAGGAGGGAGGAGGAGGAGGAGGAGGAGGAGGAGGAGAGGAGGAGGAGGAGGGAGGAGGAGGAGGAGGAGGAGGAGGAGGAGGAGGAGGAGGAGGAGGAGGAGGAGGAGGAGGAGGATCAGGAGGAGGAGGACGAGAGGAAGGAGGAGGAGGAGGACGAGGGGAGAGGAGGAGGAGGAGGAGGAGGAGTGCGGGTACCCTGGGGGACGCGGGTCTGTTCCGATGCGCGCCACCGAGCACAAAGACAGGCAGCGGCAAGAGAGTCCCTCCCTGACCATAAATCCCAACCCATCCGTCCCGCTGTTGAGTTAGCGCTGCACCAGGGCGTGGGCAGCTGCCAGCGCGTCGGTTTCGGACACGGGCGCGGCCGCGCGCATTTTGTTGTAAATGCGTAAATGTGGAAATGCAAATCGAGGAGGAAGAGGAGGAGGAGGAGGAGGAGGAGGAGGAGGAGGAGGAGGAGGAGGAGGAGGAGGAGGAGGAGAGTAGGAGGAGGGGGAGGAGGACAAGCTAGGTGCGCTCGCGTCATATCGGACATCCGACCCCTCCCTCCCATCCCTTACGTCGAGCAGGGCAATGATTCCGAAAGGGTACGCGATGCATTGTAGAGCACGGCATGGCATGGCGTAGAAGAGCACCGCAAAGCGTAGTATCAACCTAGCATTGCATTGCATGCCGTGGCATGGCACGGGAAATGACGCCAGCGCTGCAGCGGGAGCACGAGTCGAAACGAGCGGAAGCGCGGAAATGAGGCCAGCGCTGCAGCGGGAGCACGATTCGGAACGAGCGGAAGCACGGAAATGAGGCCAGCGCTGCAGCGGGAGCACGATTCGGAACGAGCGGGGCCCGAAAATGAGGCCGGCGCCTCAGCGAGAGCAGCATTTTGAAAACAATGCAGGCGAAAACCCAACTCCGGGGAACCTGTGTAAAAAAACAGTGCGCGGGGGGGGTCGAGCATTTTCAAACCGTCATCAGGGGAAGAGGGAGAGTAGTATTCATATTGAGTAATTGTGGAGGAGGAGGAGGAGGGGGAGGAGGAGGAGGAGGAGGAGGAGGAGGAGGAGGAGGAGGAGGAGGAGGAGGACCGAGGTTGAAGAGGAGGAAAAGGAAAGAGGGGAGGAGGAGGATGACAAGGAGGAGGAGGAGCCCAATCGCCGGTGGCGAGCCCGGCCTGGGAGGCCTCGAGAAGCTCCCTGTGCAAAATCTGTCCCCTCCAGGTGCTGCAAAAGTGCTGGCCAGCAAGAGGTCTATAAAAGTGCTGGCCAACAAAAACCGTATTATGTCCGCAGGCGGAGCTCACCTGCACATCGGCCCAGCAATCTGACACGCCTGTGAGCGAGTGGCGTATCCAGTGACCCGCCGAGGAACCTCCGCCGCTGAACAATTAGAGGTGAGGGAAAGTGTAGTATAGACCAGAGATGCAGATGATGATGATGCTGATGAGAAATGGGGAACTTGCAGAGCTGACCGCTGGCGCACGGTGCATAGAACTAAGCCTTTCAGCCTGTCACTCCCGGGCGCAAATGGCACACCGACGGACGTTCTGACAGATCTCCCCTGTTGGGGGATCAGATGTGAGGACGAGATATCGACTGCCCACTCCGGAAGCTAAAAAAATGCTGGCCAACAAAAACGATATAAAAGTGCTGGCCAGTCGGAGAATGCAGTCCAGCACTCGGCTAGTTCAAAGAGGGCGAGCGTGCAACTCGAGCCCAATCGCTGGGGCTGAAATCGCCGGTGGCGAGCTCGGCCTGGGAGGCCCCGAGAAGCTCCATGTGCAAAATCTGCCCCCTCCAGGTGCTGCAAAAGTGCTGGCCAGCAAGAGGTCTATAAAAGTGCTGGCCAACAAAAACCGTATTATATCCGCAGGCGGAGCTCACCTGCACGTCGGCCCAGCAATCTGACACCGCGCCTGTGCCCAGGTGACGTACCGAGTGACCTGCCGAGGAGTCTCCGCTGCTGAACAATCAGAGGTGAGGGCAATGTGAAGTATCAAGAGAGAGGAGGTGAGGACGAAGAACGACTAGCTCCTGAATGGATAGGGAACTTGCAGAGCCGACCGCTGGCGGACGTCACATGCAAGTATGTCAGCTCAGTCTCGCACTCACGGGCGCGAGCGACAAACCGACTGGCGTGCTGCCAAATCTCCTCTGCTGAAGTTCAGCAGTGTGAGCGAGGAGCATGCGGGGAGTAGATCGAAGGAGGGGAGAGGAGGGAAGAGTAGGCAGAAGTTTCGAGGAAAGGAAGGAAGAGGAACAGGAGGAGAACGGCAACACTGAAAACGAGCACACTGCTACATGTGGCCCCGCAGTTTGTTAGCTCAGAGCAACAGTCGCCGTGCTGTACGACAGGGTACACTTGTGCGCGTGCGGGGAAGCGGTATCTTCCCTTCCCTATTGAGTTCGCCTGTCGCTCAGCAACTGCTACTCCTCGTCCTCCTCTTCTCCTGATTGTCCTTTGCACGGGCGGAAGTGAGCGCGGTCTGGAGGGCAACCTCGGACGTTGCGTTCGCTGCCTTGTCGTAACTCAGACGCGCCCGGCATCATTTGGGAGCATTCGGGAGCACTCCCACTATGCTCGAGTTGGGCTCATACCGTATGTGTCCTTTGCATATGTACAGACGGTAAAGGATTTTGTGCTTATGAACTGAAAAAGCCGATATTCTGCATGGGAACGGAGATGACATTCGGGAACACCCAGGCAGCAAGCCGCGGGGAAAATGCTGCATCGCCTAAAAAGGGGAACCGTGGGAGAAAAAACGACGTGGATCCTCCACCAGCCTTGGAGACACTGGGCTCATGTTCGAACCATGGACTCACCGGGACGAGATCTGCGAGGCTAGACATCGTCTGGCAAAGGCCCTTAGAAGCCGTACATCATACAGCAGAGGGGCTTCTGGTTGGTGCAGTCCGTATCAGCAGCTTCTAATAATACGGGACTGCGCCGACATGCCTATCCGTAGAGATGAACCAGTCGATGCCAAAACATATTGACCGAGAGAGAGAGAGAGGTAGAAGAGAGAGAGAGAGAGACCAGGCTGAACTCACGAAGCGTATTACACATTACTCACCGCTGTGTTTTCCTGACCATTCGACTCGGGGGGCTCAACGGGGGGCGCCACCTCCACGTCCTTGACGACCTCTTCGGCGCAGCTGGAGATCGACGGACCCCTCACGCCCGTTACGACCTCCGCAGCACATTCGACGAGGTAGCCGACCTGCTTCTCGAGGGACGACATGCGAGCGTTCGCGACGAAGGAGACACTGGGGCTGGCGAGCAGCGCAGCGTAGCTCGACGACACGTGGGTCTCTGGGATCTTGGCGCCCCTGGCGATCTGCGGGGTTAGCACTTTCTGCATCGTGTCCACCGTGGGGAAGCTGAAGTCCTCAGCCCTCGCGGCGAGCATCGGCGCTGACGGCCAGGCTTGCAGCGCAGCGGCCGCGGTCTGCACGAACGACTCGGAGCCCAGGCACCCGCGGGTGAGGACGACCACCAGCAGCTGGGAGGGCGCTTGAGCCTGGCGCACTTCGGAGTCCTGCATCAAACCCTTGAGTTTCCAGCCCTTGATCGCGCCGACCATGCTCTTCAGCACCTCCGCCGCCGCAATAGCCTCCGAGTCGCAGACGTCCGCCACGACGCCCACGTCGTACTCCCCGTCGTCGTCCTCGGGGCCGTCCGCCGCCTTGCCTGCTCCACAGGTGCTGGACACCATGGCTATGGCCTGCAGGGACGCACCGTGGCTGCTGGCCAAGCGGTTCGCCACCACACGGCAGGAGATCTTGGAGGCGCCGCGCAGGTAGGAGTAGGCGTCCTTCACCATGGCCAGCGAGATGCCCTCGGCGGTGCAGCGCCGGAACGCCTCCGCGGACCAGCGCGTCGCGATGGCCGCCTCGTCGAGGTCGGCGTCGCACAGCTCGGTGTAGGAGTCCAGGGCGACCGGCACAATCCGCACGCCGTTCGTGTGGGCGGTGGTGACCTGCCCGGCGCACTGCGGGCTGGAGAGGGTGCCGCCCGAGAGGAGGACCACGACGTTGTCTGCCAGCTGGCAGCGCATCAAGTCGAAGATGTCCTCCAGGTTCCAGTCGAGGTTGTCCGCGGCCAAGAAGATACCCTTCTTGTCACCGATCCTCTTTTGCATGTCCATCTTGAGCCAACGGGCCGTCATGGCGGTGTCTGGGATGTGGCACAGGAACGCCGTCCACCGGTCCTTCGGCACAAACCGGCGGTACGCAAGGAAGGCCAAAAAGATGCCGATCGCGCCGAATACGAAGACCATGATGATGGTGAAGAAGACCTCGAGGTCCGCCACCATCTCGTCCCCGTCGACCTTGATCAGTAGCGAGGAGCAGGTGAGCAGGAGGATCATGCACCCCATCACCCATACGTCCAACATGTTCGGGATCGCGCCCCTCCAAGGCTGATACGTCGCGTGAATCTTACCGAACACCACCATCGTGAGAACCAGGAATATCATCTGTCGGTGGCCGTAGTCGGCAAAGATCACTGGGATCAGCGCGATGAACAGTGTACGGATCAGGTAGATAGGAGTGAAGTAGAAGCACTTGGCAGTGAAACGCTGGAACATGAATCGGTACCTGGACATGATGATCGAGCCGCGCGCAGATAGCGCCAGGGCGGGGTAACTGATGGTAATGTACAGAACGATCGAGAAGAAACCGACTCCGTATACGAGCACAGCGATGGTGCCCATGACGGCCATGGCAACCCACTCAGAGTCAACGTAGCAGATGATGGAAGGGTTGGATGACAGTGAGGATGTTCCGTTGGGGCTGCTGACGCAGTGGAACGGCTTCAGGGCGGTCATGTTGAGCATGAGGAACAGCACGAGGGTGAGCACGCCGACGGAGTTGATGACGTGGTCCTTGCTGATGGGCTTCCCGAGCGCGAAGTGCATGATGGCGAATATCGCGCACAGCAGCGACAAGCCCAGAGGGAAGGACAGCAGCTGAAGAACATATTTTGCCACCGAGTCCGAGTCAGAGACCCCACACGAGAGGTTCAGCGCCGAGTAATTGAAGGCCGCGATCGAGAAAGTACTCAGCATGCTCCTCATCGGTTCGACCCAGTCGATCTTCATCGTGAAAAATAAAGACATCGTCTGGACAATCATCACCGTCTGGCTCATGCAGATGGCAACAGAGACGGTATTCATCCTGATCTTGGTCACGTCCACCCTTGCGAAGAACGCCACCCCAGAAAGCCCACATACGACTAGGAAAATGGCCCCGAGGAGGGGCAACCAAGCGCTTCCTTCGCACTTCGTGCATTCGCCCTTCGACGCCCTGTGATAGGCGGGCCTGCAAGAGGCGCAGCCGATGACAGAAGGATCGCGCCCGGCCGCGCACGTGCCTGCTTCTCCTCCCGGGCACTCCAGGTCGTTCTGGCACCGGTAGACGGAGTACTCCCTGTCGATCCCATTCTGTTCGCTGACCCAGAAGCCGGCACTGACCATCGGCGCATCGTTGCCCTTCTCACATTCCATGCCCGCCGGGCACGCCTTGCAGTCGGTCCTTGCGCCGGACGACTCCGAGTGGCCCGCCGCACGGTAGTAACCCGCGTCACAAACGCAGTCCCACGAGGTCTCGGCGGCACGGACCATGGTGCTCTCGTGCGCAAGGCAACTCGTGCAATTCGTGTTGCCGCTGCCTTCGGCGTAAGTGGCCACCGCACAATCCGTGCACGCGGTGTTGCCCTGGGAGTCTGTGAACTTTCCAGACGAACACGGCTCGCATGCGGTCTGACCGGGAGACTTCTGGAATGAGCCAGCCGGGCAGGAGGAGCAGATTGTCTGCTCGGTTCCGTTCCAGAAGGCACTGTAGGTCCCTGGCTCGCACCAGCCGCAACTATCCGCGTTCAGGCTCGACGACAGGAACTCGCCGTCCTTGTTTACGAGACCCTGACCTGGATTGCACACGAGCTGTCCTGGCAGCCACTGGTGCCACAGCTCTGTGTTCGCACGCACCCAATCGCAGGCCATGTCCTCGACGGTCGCGCCATCGGTGGTGCTCTTCATCATCGCAATAATGTTGCTCTCGGGAACCCACAACTCCTTGGCCACGAGCGCGGCGTCGCCAGCAACGCTGCCAAAGCCCCGGGCCATCAGCTTCCTCAGCGGGATGGCCTGCAGCTGAGAGACCTGGAGCCCCTGGATCTCGTACTGCTCCTTGTTGTAGGGCGGGAAAGCTATTATCTTGAGATCGCTCTTGATGAACAGATCGTCTGGGTACCACCAGTACGTCAGCGGAATCTGCGATGCGATGATGCTCGTCCAGTCTCCGTAAGATCTAATGCTCGCGAGCGCGATGGGCATGTGGAAGTATGATGCCTGGTGTAGGATGGCGCTCCCCCAGAACTCCATCGTGATGACAGGGATGCACGTGTCTGGATCCTCGCGGCAGGCAGGGGACAACCACCAAATGCCCTCGTAGTCGCATTGCCACTCTCCGGTCTGCGTGCTCTCGTTGTAGCTCACCGTCGTGTCGTTGGGGAACTGGACGTGGTAGTCCCTGAGGATCGGGTTCACGCGGTAAGGCATCTCCGTCAGCCTCAGCTCATCGCACGTGAAGAAGTAGGAAGAATGATTGGTGAAATTGGGCAGCAGACGACCTACATCACTAAGCTTTGTGAAGTGTCTACTCAATGCCTCGGCGCTGAACTCAGACGTGTTATAGCCGCGGTACCAGTCGAGGATCAGCTTGTCCTGTCTGAGACCAGCATTGTTGGAGATCGGATTGATGAAGACCCCCTCGTCGCCGTAATAGCCCACCGTGCCGATCTCCTCGGGCGCCTTCTCTGGATAGTTGCTGGTCCATACGTCCATCTGTTGACGGAAATAGTTCTCCCAAATCTCAAAGGCAAAATGATTCCGCGAGAGGATCTTGCCATCAGGGTCCTGCGCTTTCAGACTCTGCCAACAATCACTGCCGAAATCTTCGCAACCTCCGATGGCGTACACCGACTGACCAGAGTTGCCCAACGTACTCGCTGCGATCGTAACGTTGTAGCCGACTGCCTCCTCCGCGATGATCTTGAAGATGTGGCTGAGCAGCTTGCTCGAAGTCCACCAGCCATGCACGACGCCCAAGGGCATCTCTTGTCCTTCCTCGGTGACAACGTTCTTGCGCTGGAAAGGGAGCTTCAGATTTCCGCCGGGCACGTGTCCACTCTCGAGGCACGTCGTCGCCGAAATCGGA